TTGTTTCTCCTTTGCCAGGAGGTATTTATTTTTACTGTCGAATCCCTTGCCGGGATAGTGTAGTTTATTGTTGATCCCTTGTCAAGACTCTTGGTTTGGTTGTTGTTAAAGGTATATAAATGTTATATTAGATTGGGTTGCACGCCGCAACAATATTATATTGGATCGGGCTGCACGCCGCAACAGTGTTATATTGGATCGGGTTGCATGCCTCAATAGTGATATAAGTGGATCGGGTTGCACACCGCAATAGTGTTAAATGATAAGGGATCGGGTTGCACGCCGCAACAGTGTTATTATTGTTTTGTTGTAGATTTTGAATTGTTCTCCCATATTTCTCTTAAGTTTTTGTTGGATTTGATATTTTCCCCGTAGCATGCACCCCCCCTCCTATTTAAATTGTTTATTCCTATTTATTTTCCGCTATATATTATATAACTGCACAGGTTTATCTGGAGTCCAGTCCTAGCCTCGTCACTACCTCGCAGGGGTTAGGCCAGGCATTTACCAGCACATGGGGTCGGTTGTGCTGATGCTACACTCTGCACTATGTGCACATACCGGAGCAGCTTTTGGGCAGTAGCACTCGGGGAGCTAGCCTTCAGTCCATCCAGAGATCCCGAGGTAGTCCTGCAGGCGTCCGCAGGCCCGGCTTTCTCTTCTATGTATTCATATGTTCTGTTTTCACTTGTTTCCGAGACAGACTGTATTTCCTTTTTCAGACGTTTGTATGTAGTACTCATAGACAGTCCGTGATATTGTGACACCAGATTCTGGGTAGAGGCGTATAATGGCATTGCAGCACTGATTTTGGTTATTTTTTTTATCTATTCAAGTCTTCCGCTTGTTCTGTTTATCATTAATATTCAATGTTGATTACCTGTTGATCTAAGATGTTAAAAAGGGTTAAAACAGAAGAGTTAGTGATTTTAATATTTTTGTGGCTTGTCTAGCTTCTACGAGTAGGCGCCATCACGAGTCCCGGGGGTGGGAAATCCGGGTCGTGACAAGAGAATCAGGTTTTTCAACAGGTTCTTCCGTGATGGTGTCATGAATCGGAGACTCAAAAAGAATATGAGTCCTTTCATCCCTTAAGAATGGAGTTTCTTCCCCCTGAGATTCAGGAACAAAAGGGAAGTAGGGTTTGCAACACATGGAAGTGAGACAGGGTTTGATGGATGAGTAGAGGTGACTAGAGATGAGGAGGAAACTGGCATGGGTACAGTAGTATCAGGGATAGTGAAGAAGTGGGTTTCTAGTGATGGTGTTAAGGGAGGAGGAGATGTGGGAGTGATGTTGATGGCAAGAGAAAAAGACGATTATTCGTTGGCCATAGTGAGAGAAGTGGTAGAGAGTTCTGAAGGAAAAATTAAAAAGATGCAAAGGGAGACCATGATTTAGAACTGTTGATCTGAAAAGTCAGATGATGTGGCGATTGAATTAATTTTGCTATCCTCTTTTTTTTTTTGAACAAGCATGCGAGAAACACATTACTACTAACCTGTAGTGCAGGAACCAGGTTCTTGACCTATTTTGTAAAAAGGGTTTTTGCAGCTCTCCTCCAAAGTTCAACACTATACCTTTAGATTCTATGAGCATCATGTGTGTTTACCTCCAACGGTATAGATGTGAGTTAGGCCTAGTCAGAAAATACTTTAGCCAATTTTACCTAAGTGTGACTATCATAGTCATGTCTGCAGAACCAGGTTCTCAATTAGGCTTAAGTAATCCTAATACCATCTTGTTTCTCAAAGTGTTCCTTGCTCAGAGCTTTGGTGAAGATATCTGCAATTTGATCTTCTATGCAACAAAATCTTATACAAATAAGACACTTTTCCATATAGTCTCTGAGAAAATGGTGTCTAACATCAATGTGCTTGGTTTTCTTGTGTTGAACCGGGTTTTTTGTTATGTTGATAGGATTGGTGTTGACACATAGAAGCGGTACACAATCAATGTATACACCGAAATCTTCCAACTGCTGCTTGATCCAACTGTTGCTTGATCCCCGGCAACGGCACCATGTTCTTTTTCAGCTGTTGAGAGAGCTACTGAGTTTTGTTTCCTTTACCCTATGAGTTAAAACATGATCCAAGGAAATGGGCCATTCTAGATGTATTTTTCCTATCCACCAGATAACCTGTATAATCAGCGTCATCATAACCAATAAGGTTGAAATTGTCATCTAAAGGATAGTGCAAAACCAGGTTCTGTGTGCCCTTAAAATATCTCAAAATTCTCTTAGCAGCCTTCAGATGAGATTTCTCAGGAATTGATTGGAACCTTGCATGTAATCCCACACTGAATACAATGCCTGGCCTGCTGGCAGTAAGGTAGAGTAGAGATCCAATGATTCCCATGTTTCCATATCAATCCTTTTCAAGAGTTTTTTTTAATGCATTTCTGACTGATACACGTTCCCTTTATGGACTGCTTCACTTGAAGACCCAGGAAGACATTCAGTTCCCCCATCATACTTATTTCAAACTCACTTCCCATGAGTTTATCAAATTCTTCACATAATGAGTTAGCTATAGCTCCAAATATGATGTCATCTACATAAATCTGATCAATGAGCAGGTTTCTTCCCTATTTTTTCAAAGACAATGTATTGTCAATCTTTCCTCTTGTGAAGCCATTTTCCAAGAGAAACTTGGATAGTCTCTCGTACCAGGTTCTAGGGGCCTGCTTCAATACGTACAGTGCCTTATTCAATTTGAATACATGTTCAGGATGTACATAATGTTCAAACGCCTGGAGGTAGCTTGATATAGACTTCTTCTTTGAGAAAATCATTTAGGAAGGCACTTTTCACATCCATTTGGAATAAGGTGAATTCCATATGTGAAGCAAAGGCAATGTAGATCCTAATAGCTTCCATGCGAGCTACTAGGCCAAAAGTCTCATCATAATCGATCCCTTCAGATTGAATCCTTGGACAGCAAGCCTTGCTTTGTTCTTCGTAGCATTTCTATGTTCATCTAGCTCATTCCTGAATACCCACCTGGTCCCTATGATGGTTCTGTCTGAGGGTCTAGGTACCAGGTGCCATACCTTGTTTCTTTCAAGTTGATGCAGTTCCTCTTTCATTTCAGTAATCCAGTCTACATCCTACAAGGCTTCCTTGATATTTTTGGGTTCTATTTGGGATAGAAATGCTGAGAAAGCTAGGGAATTTCTATATTTTTATCTTGTTTGAACTCCAGAATCAAGGGGGTGATTATATTATCAAGTGAATGGGAGTTTTTGTGTTTCCAATTTGGGACTGAAGTTTGATTTGTAGAGAAACTGGGTAAGTTAAATGGATTTCCCTTCACTCCTTGTTCTGTTACTTGGGGAGTGCCTTGCACTGCATCTCCAACTCTTTCTTCTGCTTCAGGGGTAATGATGGAAATACTAGGTTCCTCTTGAGAAGTAGAAGAGGATGTTGCATTGTCTCTCACCTATCTCCTTCATCTTACTCATCAAATCAGCCTTCCCATCTGAAACTCCAGATATTTCCCAGGGACCAAAAGTGGTTCATTATCTTAATCATCATTGTTTCCTCCTTTTTAGAGAATGATGTCTCGTTGAATAGGACATGAACACTTTCTTCCACACAGTGTGTCATTTTATTGTAGACTTTGTGGGCTTTGCTTTGAGGGGGGTATCCCAGAAGGATTCCTTCATCACCTTTTGCATCAACCTTCCCAAGCTAATCCTTCCCGTTGTTAGAACATAGCATTTTCATCCAGAGGTTCTCAAATGAGTTATATTTGGTTTTCTTCCATTGAGCAACTCATAGGGGGTTTTGTTCAAGAGAGGTCTGATCATGCACCTCTTTTCACTCCTACTCAGTATTCCCATAGGAATTGCATGCTCCGTATTCTTTGAACTTTGAATTTTACAGACCATGGACCAGGTCCTTCAATATATCCAGAAGTGAGAAATTTGTATCCCCCATTCCTTTGTGCCATGTCTTCGAATCATTATCAACTGCATTCAAGCAGCTCATATCACTAGCTTAGACACGAACTTCTACCTTGTTTTTCTTCCCCATACTTAGAACTAGTTGGAGTAACCCGGGCCCAACATAAAGAGAACCATATTGTTGTAAGTAAAAGGCATAGTGATAATATCTCCAGCGGATGAGCTCGAGTTGTACTCAAAAGAGAAATAAAAGACTACACAAATATGTTACACAAAAAATGTAATGGATTTGCAGTAATATCTGCAGATACAAATATGTATAAGATGGCAAAAAGTCTACTATCAAAGGATATAGTACTATCTTTCAACTGGTCTGAAAGAGTACCAGAAGAATCAACTCGTGCCTGAGATAAGCATTTAAAGGAATTCCATTGGATATATTCTCTCCTTCCACATTTTGAACCCTTGGCTTTTTTCGGGAATTGGATACAGTTGCAAATGCAGTAGATTTTGTAAGAAGATCCTCAAGATTTTCTAGCCGGACTTTAGCCCCTCATTTTCACTCGAATGTAGAGAGCATTTCAAATTGTATTGAAATTCTTGTCCTGCCAGATCACCAAGAGAAAACAAAACAAACAAACAAACAAACAAACAAACACAAAATTTCCATAAAGATCATTCTTTTAGGTAAAACAAATATAGCATATCTTATTTTGATTGTCTAATCAGATGAATCACAGATAAAAAAACTAAACCCATTAACAAAAATTTTCTACTTAAACACACACGCACACATACCAAGAAAACACATAGACTCCATAAATATCACCTTTTTAGTCAAAACTCAAATAGCTTATCTTATCAAATCAGTCACAAATCAAAAACTAAACCCTTTAACAAAAAATATTCTACCCCACACACACTAAGAAAAAATAGAACAAGGAAAATAACAGTGCAATTAAAATTTGCAATAAAAGCAAAAAGGGGATGAAATTTGACTAACCATTTTGATTGTATTGGATGTTGAGAATTGGGTGAAATTGGAAGAGATTGAAAGGTTAAAGCTCAAGGCTCAAGAACGTGGTGTCCTGTCAATGTAAAGCTAAAGGAGCGACATATCCATTTGAAAATCCATCAAGAAGCTGCAAAATTAGGTATGTATAAATGATCAATGATAATGAAAGAGTTATGGAGCAACAAAAAAGAGAAAACAAATTGGATATTAAGGGGAAGATTAAATTCAATGACTGCAAACTAAATCAACAAATTAATGAAAGCACACTAAACATTTCATTTTTACACTTATTTTTACACTTAAACAAACACATGTAACCAGTATAAAATTCAAATATACAGAAATGTTTCAATGTGCTACTTGAATGTAAACTCCAAATGAGTAAGGGAAGAAGCTTCCAATCATCAACAGTATGCCAAAATAGAATGGAATGAAGTTACACATCAATCGATTAGGAGGAACGCATCAATGACATGAATGTTGCTAGACAAATCATCAGCCAAGGACTAAGGATCTTTAAGATCTTGATTTACTCCATGAATATGTGTTCTATGTATTCGTGAGTGTGCATTTGTATTTTAATATTTATAGATCCATTTTGAAATGACAACGTAAGTGCGATTTAACAGGAGTGTTCTTAAGTAGCAACAATGTATGAATACAAGCTTGCATATAGGAAAATATGATAATTAGGTAAATAAAATAATATCACTTATAAATTGTCGGTTTTCTGTTCAAAGATGCAATTGTCTTTCTTTGAACGATCAAGTCTTCAAGAGTCACGATATTGAAAGAACTCTGTCAAAAAAGATATATAATTAGTCACGAAGATAAACATCTCTTCAATAGTTTTTCCCATTGTCTAACAGAATGAAGATGTTACCTTTTGTCGAAGCTGAGATGACCGCGAAGCTAGCTTTATTTTTATCTTTTCAATCAATCATTCTCAAGAGTTGATGTAGGTCCATGGCGCAAAGTGGATTCTAAAGAAAATTCAGAAAGAAAAGGATTAACTAATGGTTTCTATTGTGAAAAAGACAGTGAGTCTAGACCATAAGAAATGCAATTGGTAAAGCAGAAGATCCTATTCAGTTAAACAAATTGAATAAAGTGCTTTCTCACAATCAGCTCTACGGTATTTTACAATAAAAACACTAAAATAATCATGTTGACAAAAGGTTATATGTAAGAAATCTGCAGTACTAGTATAATATTTCCAGATAGTTTTAGCAAAACAATCTGTGCAGCAGATGTCACTCATTGAGTCGATGGCATATGTGTAGCAGCAAGCAGATCTTGATACCGGCTGGTGTACAAAATTGAAAACTCTATGATCAGTAAGAAGATTGATTGTTGCCTAAAGTTCTCCATAGTAACAAAGAACATTTAAAAGAAATAATTTTTGTGTGAAATCTTTTTTAGTAAAAATTGTAGTTTTTGTTGGTGCCATTATCTCCCAGGCTGAAGCTCACGTGAAATTATCAGAATAATCTACCACATTTTAAAGTGCAAAGTGCAAAATACAAAGAGCAACTTTAAGGATGATAGAACTTTACAAAGTGTATATTAGCAAGAGAATTATTTGTCATCTGTCAGAAAGGATTCGACATATTCATTTATTAGTGCAGCGAGTCAGCTAATATGAAAAATAGTCCAAAATTTATCATCGGCAGTAAATAATACCAATGTAAACAGTGAAATGACTAAAATGACCGAACCATTTCCTGGAGGAGGAATCTAAAATAAGCAAAGACAAAAGGATTTAGTAGGCGCATGAGTATTCAGTAAGATAATTTTTAACTGAAGAGAAGTAACACGTTATGCACCTTTCTTTTGATAAAACAATAGCTTTTATTGCTTCCACAAATTGTTCAACAAACAGTGAAGGCATACATGCGTTCAGCACCCATCTTCAAGCGCATTGCATTTTCCTTAGGTCGAAACAACAATATATTGTCGTCATATTTTCGATATGTCTTTAAAGCTTCGAACAATCCCTACGAAATACTATCATAATACAAAAGTGTAAAAACTAACTTGTCTCATAATTTAATATTTTAGTAGATGGGCTGAACTCAATATTACCGAAACGCTGTAATTCACCCTTAGAAAAGTTTTCACTTTGAGAACATTTCATGACATACATATAATCAGTAGTTGTAAAGTCAAAGTCAAGGTTGTCCCAATCAATATCAGCTAATTAAAAGGTTATGTTGTTGTTATAAAAACAAAGATCCTATCAGTTATGTGAAAAGCAATAAGCAAAGCTCTACCATGAGTTTTTTTTTCTCTTTTTAATTGATGTATTCCGATGGTACTTGCATTGGAGAAAGTAATGACTTCCCTTTCTCGCTGTAAATAGCATCCGATGACCATTGTTCTTCAGATAATCGATTAATATGCTAAAATAAAAGCGCAAAAAGAGCAGAGCAAATTACCAAATGATAGTAACGGTGATATGCCTTCAGATCAGCTGATTGTTATCGTACCACATGTCTCGATTTTGCAAACCAAATGTTATGTGGCATTTCAGCCATTCCTTTTTTGTGACAGAAGTTTGATGTCCAAACATCTTCCCGAACACCTTGAGTAGTTTATTAGTTGATATGTTATTAAATGGCACACAATTGTATTTGTCTCGTCACAGAGCATCATAAACAGATGAGTTACTTGCATCAAATAACTTTAATACTACAATACCACAATTTTTTCCATTTGAATCAGCAAGCTTGTTTTCCAAATTCAGATCTCAAATACAGGATATATCGACATCATCGAGGGTGGGAATCCCTTCCTCGATTTCAATATCTGTCAAATAGAGAATATCAATACTTGAATTAACTTATCAGCTAAAAGATATTTAATTAGGACAAAAACAAAGTAGGAAAAGGAAAGAGTAGCGAAGCATAATATTGCAGATAATTTTTGCCATATGCAAAAATCTTTGATTGTCCATCGTTTACCCAAAATCCGTAGTAATACGTGCTCTTCTCACGGGCAGATGGAGAAACTGCAAATAGATAGCATAAAAGCATATTAGGAAAATGTGTACACAAGATAAATAGATCGAGCGACAACAAAGTACTTGTGAAAGTATAGTATGTTGAAGACATCAAACAACTGCCTTTTTAATGATTTCATCAAAGACAATATTAGATGTAGAATGATCGTCATAGCTAGTTGGCGTAGATGGTCGGATCAACAATTTCACACAATTTGAACTCTTTGCTCTTCATAAGGCAACGTAAAGTTGGCCATGTGAAAATACAGGTTCTCGCAAATAAATTCCAACAAAATCTAAAATTTGTCCTTGTGCTTATTTATTGTTATAGCAAAGCATAGTCTAATAAAAAATTGTGTTCTTTTAAATTGAACCGGCATCTTTTCATCCTGTGATGATAATAATGGTATTCTCGGTATAAATACATGCATATTCTTGAAATCACCTATCATAATCTTAGCACTAATAACATGACTTTTAAAATCACAGCAGGTCAATCGTGTGTCATTACATAAACCTTCACATGGATTTAAATTTTGCAATAATATAATTGGACAATTTTCTTTCAAACATAATTTGTAAGGGGGCAAACTAGGAGGATTTAAAGTGTGTAGTAAATCTTCGAATTGTGTTTGGTTATTAAATTCAATAGCTTCATCGGTGCCAATATATGTTTTTGATTTTCCAGTTAATCGATCAATAAGCATATCATTAATTTCATCTACGAAATCATTTGTTGTTGTTAAGATCACACGAGAATCTGTACAGAATGAATTAGAGTATAACAAATCCAAATTTGAATATGTCGCTGTGAATAATTTATCTAGAGATTCTTTTTCGATTGTGTAAGAAAAAATCAATGAATCTGAAATTTCAATCTTGTTTGCTGAATTTACTTGTTCTTGTCTATTTCCAATTTTTAGCAAATAATCACAAAATGCAGGATCCATTTTTGCTCTCATATTTTCAGATAGCTTTAATTTTTCAAGTTGATTCCAAATGTTAGAATATAACAAACTTTCGCTAATGAAATCTTCTTTTTTTCCGTATCGCACAACAGGAAGAGTTTGTCTGAAATAACCTCCGAAAACTACAACTTTTTCGCCAAATAATGCATTTGTATCCATCAGATCTTTTAATAATAGATCAAAAACTTCCAACATTTTCTTTTTGGCCATAGATACTTCATCCCACACAATCAATTTTGCATCGCGTATTAAACCTGCAAGTGAACTTTCTTTGCTAATGTTACAACTGGCATTTTCATCGATGTCAATAGGAATTTTGAAATATGAATGTGCAGTACGTCCCCCTGGAAAAATAGAAGCAGCAACACCAGAAGTAGTTGTTGCCAAAGCTATATATCCCATAGATCGTATAGTTGCTAATAAAGCACGGTATAAAAAAGTTTTCCTTGTTCCTCCTGGACCATCCACGAAAAATGCACCCGCTTTATTTGAAAATATCCTTTCAGTAATCACATTATATGCAATGAGTTGATTTTTGTTTAATTTCCTGTGTAACAACACGTCGTCTTCGCTGACAATAATAGATCTTTCAAAATGAATCTCTTTTGCCTCTTTGGCTGTGACAGAAGGCCTGATAGTTTCTGGCATGAGTTCATACTCATTTATATCATGACCCATAGAATGTAGAATGTCATTGATATGATTCAAAGCCTGATATCGGATTTCACTTCTTTTAGTAATTTGCAACACTTTGTAGTCTACGGTCATTGATTCCTCAAATTATTCCCATAATTTTCTAGGGTTGACAGGACCACAATACACCAACAATGTAGCAAATAAACGCCTTAAACTATATGGCATTTGGTAACTTGCGGCTTCAGACATACATTCTATCAAGTTATTATCACAGTGTAACAATCCTCTTTTATCTAAAGACTCTCTAAAAGTACTACAAGGCTCTCCATTTACTGTCAAAAGATCCTTATAGGACGTCCACCCTCGTACATGCATCAATAATAACCTAAGGTAATATCGTTCTCCTTCTATTGGATGGCATGTCACAATACGACCAACAGCACAACGTTTTTGTCTGCGTGCCCAAAATTTGTCACTGGACGACCACACAAAATATTCAGGAAATTCTTTGTATAGTAAATTGAGCTCTTTAGCATCTTCATCACTGTCGTTCATGTAGAAGAATTCGGTTAGCATTGGTTTTTTTATCATTGGATTATTCACAATTGTTTGTATATCTGTATTACTCTTAAAAGAAACAAATTGTTGACCTTCAAGATGTAGTTGAAGACGATAAACGCTGGGAGACATTTCACTTATAGGAAAACCAAAGAGACGCCATACAGCTTCCGTAGGTGATACCCATCTAGCAGATCGATATTCTTTTACCTAGTCTATAACTATGTTCGTATCATTATTTTGTACACAGAATGCATTTTGTCATGTCCTTTACATATATTTGTATAGATATTTCACGACTTTGATATCGGAGCAAACTTCAACATTTATGTGACAATTGAATTTACCAAATAAATACGGATTGTATGGAACAACCCGGGAATTATCTAAATATTGTTCTCTTACTTTCACAACTTCGCCCGTATTTTGTCTTTTGTAGATTGGATAAGAATCGTTTCCTTTCAGTGTTTGATCGGCAAACATTTTTGGATATTTGAACTTGCAGTAACCCTTTTTTCATCATACAAGAATTTGTTGGATCTAAGCTACCGCAAGGACCATGCATCATATGTTTAATGACAAGCTTACGCAAATCTAGTTCTGCCTTGTCATCCAGTAATTCTGCTCTAATTATATCATCGTATGCCTCTGCTGTCAATAGTTTGTGTTCATTACCTAGTATAATAAGAAAATGAGCATGGGGTAAACCTTTGTTTCTGAAACTCCATAGTGTACATAAAAGCAATAACTTTTCCAAAGATATTTCGTTTTAATATATCTGTCTTCAGCTCTTCTATTTTAGCCCTAAACACTCGAGTAATCAAATCAGGTCTATTTTGAGCTTCATCTGTTAACCATAGATGTTCTTTTATTTCCGTCCAAGATGGGTTACAAGTCATAGTTATAAACAAATCAGGTTTCCCAAAACGTTGCACCAATGCAATAGTATCCATATAATGTTGCCGCATATCCTAGGACCTCCTATAAAAGAATTTGGGAGAAATGTTTGTTTTCCAACATTGGAAGCATCTCGTTTGCCAAGTCTTAAAATATCAAGAAGTCCTTGCAGTATACCCATTCTGAACAAATCTTGATTGAACGAAACAAAGTCCAACCTTTGTGTCTCCAATTTTATATATTCATCCACTGAATATTGCTGCAATAATCTTCTTGTATGCAAAATTTCATCCTCATCATCGTTCCTTATCTGAAGTTTATAACAGTAATATTCACGAACTGAAACTGTATCTCTTTTGCGTTTTGCTTTTTGCGAATTTTGAGCTTCCATATCAAGATATCCATCAACGGAGGTAAAAAAATTTATACACGGTAATTGTTCAAATTCAACAAAGTGCGATTTCTAGGAATATTTTCTGCTCTCGGAAACTTCTTAATACCACAGTGCCACCCGCCTTGGCCATATGGAAATAACAAGGGGTATTGTAAAGGGTTATAGCACCCAAAATAATAGTTTACTCTTTGTGTCCTGTCGCTGTGAGTATAAATTTGAAGATGCGGTGCATGAGTAGCAGGACCATCATTTTCATCAACCCATATTGCTACAATTTCAGTAGTAGTAGTAGGCACATTATATACACGTTGATCCAATCCAGCGTCACATTTTAGTGCTATATGAAAGTTTTGCAAGTTTGGCATGTCTGTTAAGGATCGCAGAAACATTGAGTATGGATTACCCTTTAGTATGTCCATCAATTCCTTCACTGTCGATTCATTTAATTTATCTGAGCAAGCCATTCTATTTTTAAGCTCATTTGCATTATCGTAAAAGTAGAGTTGCAAATTTCTTGGCCCTCTTTCTTTGGGATATAAATCGTCTATCAAGTGATACATCTGTCCTTGAACTCTGAATGTATAAATACCACGATTTCTCTTGGCCAAATCTTTGTCATAATTGACACCAAGTGCCGTAAAGGCAAACAAATTATTATATGTTCTAATGTACGTTCGAAAATGCTTAGATTCTGCGTTGTTTCCAATATATAAATTTCTCAGTTCAGCTGGCATTCGATGAGAGGTCAACTTCACTGTACCATTGTTACAGCAAAATCCAGGGGGCTCATACTCAAATTTTTTCGCACGGCAGAATTTACAATTTGGAACCTTTTTTAACAGAACATAATCAGAACGTAGTTGTTTAATATTAATCGTAGTTTTCTTATTTGTTACACGACCTGCATATTTCAAATAACTTTAAGGGATACAAATGGAAGAAATTATAAAACCAACCAAGGGTTATGGTTATACGAACCTTTAGTTGTAGTTGTTCTAGAAGTTGGAGTACATGATTCATTTGCAGTTCTCGATGTTGAGCCTAGTTCAAGATAATTTTCGGTTACATACTTGCGGATAGTAGACGCAGAAACATAAATGATCAGTATGGATTCAGAGCCCTACCCTTTTCAAAAATAGGGGTAGGATGAAGCATGCTTTTTCCTTTCTGAACTACATCAGCTGCTGTTAAAACTTCATAGTTAATGACCACTACATTAATAACTTGTTCATAAACATAAAGGTCACAAAGGCAACCAAATCGGCAATACGATCATACATCTGAACTGTAAATGTGTAAATACGACAATGTAAAAGTAATATGCAGACTAAAAAATGTAATATAAAATTAACATTACCTGTTTCATGAATCATGGAGCGATTGCAAATATTCTTCCCTTTTTCTAAATTATCCCTTGATGTAGTCACACAAAGTTGTTGCGTGGCAGCTGCAACACAAAGTAGGCGAGATGTTTAAAGGTACACAGTAAATCGTTAATAAGCACCAAATAAAGAGAGAAAGAGCACAAACTATTCTATATCTCATTTAATTAATTAAGATAAAAAAGGGGTCATACAATCTTCTAAAAAAATAAATGCGCAGCAGTACATTAATAATATATGGTAGCTATAAATGACTAAAAAATATAACATTTTTAAAGCAAGCTAGCAGGTTCTCGTATGATAAGAGCAGTTTATTTTGGAAATCCTCCTTTGTACCAAGATGGTTCTCGTATGATTTGTTTTGGAAATCCTCCTTTGTACCAAGATGGCGTTCCCTGCTCTAAGCTACGAACAATGGGATCTTCAAGAATCCTATGTTTTCCACAATCTTGTTTTCTCATACGTCGTGATAGTAATAATGCTTCTCTTCTATGAGCAGATATTTGGTTATACGTATCACATCGTTTAAGTTGCATTGCAGCCTTCTTCTTTTTTGCATCTGAACATTTGTTTGTATTCCTAGACTCCGTCAGCTACGCAAGTTCAAGTTCCTCTTTTCTTACATGTACAAATTTTAAGTTGCAGGCTCGTCATAAAATGTCTAGATGTAAAAGATTAATGATATTACAAATGTAATTGTAGCGCACAAGATAAATGTTTAAACTGTAGGTTATCACGAAATCAATGAGTGTCTTCCATTTTCACAAGCTAAAGTAATTGCATCAAAATATATTTTGGCTCCGTCAATTTATAGCATTTATCATAATGAACGTTAACAAACACTAATTGTAACTAAAGGCTAAAGCTTACATCACCACATTTCAGCTGAGTGAAAAGATACCAAAAAACAAATAGCATGCCCAAACAATCCAACAGCACGCACATTTATTTAAAATAATCACATCTCCAACAGAGCAAAATAGTCAAAAATTGACATTCATCGAAAGAGTGAGCTTTCTTTTGTCTTTTTGTATACTTTTTTCCAACACATTGTATCTCTGTATAGTTGTTGTTCTGAGAGCACCTATAGCTTCATCTGTTGCGGAAAGGCTTTGTGGAAGAGGAAAAATTAATGTATTATAAGAACAATATTATTTCCATTGAAGGATAAACTGAGATTTTTGTAAATGTTTACTTCTAAATTTTTAAATGTACTCTTAGTTGTTAACACTATGCAGTAACTTAAACAAAAAATAAAAAAAAAAAAGAAACACGCAATGTGCAGTAGCTCCTATAACACATATTTTAAGCCAAATTTGATACTTCAGTTTGCATATTTCTTCTTAGTTGTGGATGACATAAAATCAGAAGAAAGCAATTCAGCACAACAACTATCAGTCCAAAAGAAAAAGAAAGAAAAGTGTGCTAATAAATTATACAATATGGATAATTGAACAGAGAGTCATGAGGACAAAGCACAAAGCAAACAGATCCTCAAGAAATATAGATAACAAGATAACTTTAAAAATATTTGAAGAGGCAGATGTGAAGAACCAATACTCATAACTTGTAATAGTCATTTACTTCAATAATCTGTGACTATTCGTAACTTTAAAAGTAAAAATGGACAACACAGTTGTGATGTATCTATGCGCCTTTTTTGTTTTGTCTTTATCTTTATGTTAAATGGTGGAAGCAAAGAAAAGAATAAGCAATATTCAGAATATCAAAAGCCATCAAAATTTTGGATTGGCCACCCCATTCGTGGAGATGTGCGACCAAGGGCAGCTAAAAAAAGCCATATACTCATAATTTTGTAAGCAAAACAATGTCAGATGAATGAAACAATCTTCAATTATAATTGGCTAGACCAATAGTTGCCAACTTGGTTGGGCAACTTGCACGTCAAAGTCCAATCAAATATGTCATTTATTATCTGGAGTTCTGCCCCATTAAAATTTTTTATTTGCCTAATTCACATTTCAGTTGCATTAACATAGGGAAAAATCAAGCATATCCAAATAGACTAAGATGAATCTCTACGTTGAACTTCTTTTTCTATATGCAGAAATAATGTTATTCCCCAAAACAACTTTCAAGTTATCAAAACCACCATCCATGAAGAATCGACCTGTAACCACCCATAACTCTAACCTCCATTGCCAACTATAACAAAAATTAATTTAGGCTGAACGTTGTAATCTCAAGAGTGACATTCACATTTTTTATAATCTCCTTCATAGTACAAAGATGCAGTGTAGTACAACAGAACTAAAATTTGGACCTATTTTCCCAAGAAAATAAGCTCTTTTCTCCCTTAGAATTCCTACTTAACTAATAAGTTTCTTGCTTTCATCGTGTATTCATCCCTTACCTTTTAACATTGAACGTTTGTTGTTTCCCTTTCTGTATACTTCTTATTCTTCCCTTAGAATGACTATCCATCTTTTATGCTTTTTTTTAATAGTGAACTGTAGCATACACTATATATACCAGAGAATTCCTCCTATGTGGTGCACAGAAACTCTTATTTACTCATAAAAATAGGTGTAATTTTTAAATTCATATGGCATATCAAAGAGGAGTATTCATTTTGGGTTAGATGGTCTGCCAAAAGTTTCGAACTCCGAATCGCAAGTCCAGAAAATTGTTGGCACGGCTACTATGTGATGCAAGAGAAAAGCTTTTCATCTATAATTTGGCATGATATTGAGCAATTCTAAAAATTCGAATGGTTACACATAAGCTTCACAGAGTAATAGAGCATTGTCCTACCAGTAACATCCTAGAGGCTTTCCCTATTTATTGTCTAGTTGAAAGTCGTCTAAGAAACTTATCACACGCGGATCTAATGTATCAGTTATGGGTTAATTTAAGCCCAACAACTCTGCCTCGAACATCGTATTAGTATTTGTTTAAAATCCACTAAATAAATATAAATATTAAATCATAAACACAGTAAATCAAGTCCTGAATCCCCAAATTGACCACTTAACTAAGCCGGAATTATAAGCTATTTGGATCTTGGATAATATGAATTTTCTATATTGACGTAACCAATTGCATGCCATAAATCAACAGTAAACCCAAGAGCAAAACCCCAAATGACTCATTAACAAAGTCGCCGATTTTCAAGGCAAATAGAAAAACAGGGAAGCAGAAGACACACTAACTTTACAGAAGACTAATGACTTACTCTATACTAACTGGGTTTGTTCTAGCTTTTTAGTAAATCAAAGAAATAATTTTATTCCCCAAAATAACTTTGTAGTTATCAAAACCACCATAAATGGCGAATCAGCCCGTGGCCAGCCATGACTGTCACCTCCATCAACAACTATGACAAAATCAGAAGAAGAAAAATTGAAGTAATACAATGTGAACTGAACTCACCAAGAGATAAAACGGAAATCAGCAATACCGGGAAAGTCAAAGAACCACCGCGAAAATAGAGAGATGAAAGAGAGTGTGAAGTTGAATCAAGCTTTCAGTAGAAAAATCATAAATCTTTCAAGTATCCGCCGTTTACCCAAAATCCAATGTAGCACGTGGTGGTCTCTCAGGCATCACACCAAGCAAACGTAGGGCTTTGATGTTAATCTTTCCCTCAAAGATAATTATACCCCTGAGATGATAAGGTTAGGCATAATGACAATTATACCCTCAATAAAGCCAGGCAAGCAGGTTGACCTAGTGTGTGCTTATTCTCCCTTATTAATAGAGAGAATGTACTCCTTCTTTCCATTTTTCAAAGGGTACATCCCTTCCTTGTAGGGCTTTCAATGAGAGAAAATTCATGGTATTTTCAGTCATGTGCTTTGAGCATCTACTGTCCATGATCCATTATAGTCCGCTTCCTTCCACTGTTCCTTGCACATCTAAATTATGGGTTAGATTTAGGAACTCAAACTAGTTTGGGTCCCTTGTTATGATAGAAGGGATGGATAAGGGCTTTTCTAGTCCATGCAGGCAACATTGGTTTCTTGCGAGCAGTACATGGTCTCTTGTTAATAGTCATTTTGTCAGCAAATACTTTATTTTTCTGAACAGATTGAGCCCTGGCCTGGCAATTTTCTTTGAAGTGCCCATTATTACCACAGTGGGTACACAGCCAGTTATCAGGAACTGTGACGTACTTGTTGTGAGGGTTGTAAGGAGTTTTCTCCTTTTAGAACCCGATTCCCTGCATGTTTCCACTTTTGTTAAAGTACATGGCAGTGACAACATCTGAGGACCAGGTCCACTTGAGAGATTTCTCAAGATCCCTTTTTACTCTCTTCAATTTAACTTGAAGCTGCCTATTTTTCTCGAGTTCACCACATATCCTAGTTCTAGCAGCTTTCAACTCCTTTTCAAGCCTAGTGTGTTCCTCACTGGCTATCTCCTTTCCTTTTCCAGATTTTTCAGGTTTTAACTTAGTTCAAGGTTTCACTATTATTTCCCTTAAGTCTGTAATTTCTATCAAAAGATCATTCTTTTCTTTTTTGAAAATTTCAATGGTTTTCTTATGGTCAGTAACTACCGCCACTAAGTCGTCTCTAGTTTGTTCAGATTTTGCTAACTCTAAGGTCAAAGAATCTCTATCCTCCACAAAACTATGAAAGACACTGATTAATACATTAGCTAAAGACATGAGTTTTCTTGGAGAATAGGATTTCAGATTTCTCTGAACATCCCTGAATTTACCTCATTGTTGTCATCGTCTTCATCATCATTTGGTTGTGCCATCAACGCAAAGGTTGAGTCATATTTATTTTCCTCGCATTCACGTGTCATCATGGAGCTATCACCAGCATCAGTTTCATCTTCAGACTTACCAAATGCAAAAGCATGTTTCACTATATTGTCAGCTGATCTTTTTCTCTTGAAGTTCTTGGAGAATTCTTGCTTTAAGAGAGAACAATTTTTCATAAAGTGTCTAGCCTTTCCACACTTGTAATAAAGATTATTGTTCTTTGATCTGTTAAAGCTGTCCCTTTTCAGCACTTCTCCATTTCTTTTGACCATCTTCTGAAACTTTTTGGTTAAGTAAGTCATGTCACTATTTTCCTCACTCGAATCATTGTTATCAGCTTTGAGTACACGGTACTTTTTCTTCTTTGGTTTTCTCCTTTCAAGAGTTAGTGGAGCAGCCATGAGGATCCTTCTTAGGTGTTAGCCTGATAGGAAGAACCCGCTCTGATACCACTTGTTAGAAACTTTGCGTTCACCAGATTGTATAGAGAACCGGTTCTCTATCTGTTTCCTCTAAAAATACTGATGAACCAAACTGTATAGCGATCTGGTCCTATATCAGTTTAGTACAGTGCTAAGTTTATGTGAGTCCACCAAATAGTAGAGTATCTGGCCTTTATCAGGTTTTGTTGTGATGCTGGTAAAGCTGAATGTAAAAAAGACAGAGGATTTTTACGTGAAAAATCCCACACAACCACTCTATAACTATCCTAGTTACAAATAATTTGACTAACTTGTGGTATTTCCACCACAAGCCACTTTGTCACACTACGGTTACAAAGGCTTTTGCTTATGACTCAACCTAATCAACGCTTCTAAGAAAGCCGGATAGGAGTTACAATGAAGAACAAATTACAAAGACTCAACAAACCTAAGGACTTAAAATATCTTCGATTTTGGATCAGGTCCTTGAGGTTGCAGCAACTTTGTTCTTGAGAGAGGTTCTTGAGCACTTGAGAGAATTTTCGTTTTCTGTATTTGCAAGTGTTGGAACCTGAAACTTGTGCCTTGCATAAGGTTTATACTACACAAGACATCCTTAGTGATGTCCAATCTCAATGGGAAGTGACTATTGTACTGTCTGCTGCACTGTTGCAGGCAGTCACTTTCTGCAATTGCTTTCCAGCTGTAGTTGACTTGTATTTCTGTTAGAGAACCCTAAGGGACCAGGTCCCTGTTGTGTTCCTCTTTGTACATTTGCGATCAGTCACTCAGTTGCGTTCCAGCTGTATAGTTGACTTGGACTTCTATCAGATAAGTACCAAGGGATCAGGTTCTTAATCTGGTCCATGTGCACACTGCCCATATTGTCTTGAGTTGAGTAACTTGAATGATGCTTTGTATAGACTCATTGTAGGTACATCTTGATCACATCACTTGAAGTGATGTGAGCACTTTAGTTGGTCAGAGAATGAGTGGGCGCTGGAAACAGTGCAGTGCGGTAGAATGTTCGTTTCCAGCTGTGTCCAATTGACTTTGTACTGCCGTGAGGAACCCACAAGAGTATCAGGTCCTTGTTTGGGTTCCTACCTCCTGAAGTTGTAGCAAGTTCACATTTGGTTGGAATCCATTAGATGCAGTGTAATCCAAGTGAGTCAGGTTCCCTATCTGGTTCTTGATATTAAGTTTGTTAAATTATCAAAATACAACGCAAAGATATTGAAAACCTATCAATCCTATCATTCATGGTCAGTTATTTATTCTTATTGGGATCTTCTGATTAGAGAATTAATAAGTCAAGTTAAGAATTAAGTTTAAGCATATAAAATTTGATACTTGAAGAAGAAGAAGAAGAATAAGAAACGCAAAATATATAATACATTATATTTGAATAGAATATGTAGTTTTTATTTTATTTTAAAAAGAAGCAGAAAATAGTGGCAAGCCCTCTGGATGCTGACCAAGATAGTTTTGTTGGGCCAAGCCCGACTTGCTACATATTCTAGTGCCCACTTCCCAAAATTCAAAAGAAAGAAAATTTGAAAGCATATAGGCCAAGCCCATATATACCATTAAAAAGGTGGAAATAACACCAAATAGTCAATTTGAAGCATGTTGTTTAAAATATATATCTATAGTTAAAAATGTATTTAATGATTAACCAATTCGCTTAAATTTTAGGATACGGCATCCTGATGTTAAATTTCAAAGTTCAAACTTCATGACATCGTGTCCTAAAGTTTGAAAATTGCGCCCAGAAATTCAAATTTTATGTCTTGAATTTTAAATTGATAATTTTGAAATTCAGAACACTCAGTCCTGAATTTCAAATTAGCAGCTAAAAATTTTAGGACTAAGTCCTGCATTCCAAATTTTAACTCAAAAATTCAGGATACTTAATCCTGAAGTTTGGCTGAATTGATTAATATTTAAATACATTGTAAATCGTAGATATATTTTAAATAACAGGATAAAAAGTGCATATTGGTGCACTTTGTCCGTAAAAGTGGAAGACTTTTTGAGTCAGTGGGTCCTCGTGAGCAGTCAAATCTTTACATAAATAGCTGGCCTAATTTACTACTCTACTATTTATATTCCCTAGCTAATATATATACTTATACTCCCTCCGTTTCAATATATGTGAATCTATTTTCTTTTTGGTCTGTGCCAAAAAGAATAACCCCTTTTCTTATTTGGAAAAAATTTAACTTTATGCAATGATTTATAGTCACACAAAATATATGTGCCTCATTTTACATCACAAGTTCAAAAGTCTTCTCTCTTTTCTTAAACTTCGTGCCCAGCCAAATGGGTTCACATAAATTGAAACGGGGGAGTACATTATATACTGTTGGATAATCAATTATTTCTGTCATTGGGCCCAAGCTCAACCCGCTCATGGAGAACTTAGAAAGAATATACATAAAATATCAATTTTACCCGTCCTATGAAGCGCCCTTAACACACCCCAAGTCCCTACAATCAATTTTCCAAGTTTTTTCAGCTTACCATCGTTGAGTTCCGAGAGCTAAAGAGGAAGAAAAAACCTTTGCGAAATTTCCCAATGTCTTCAAACAACCCTTCTCAGCTTCTTCCATCTGGTAATTTCCCTCCTAACAAGATTTATTAACTAGGATTTTAACCCCTTTATTCAATTTTTTAATTTTGCAGAGTTGATGGGTTTTAATTTTGCAGAGTTGATTGATCGTTGCATTGGGTCAAAGATATGGGTGATAATGAAGGGGGATAAGGAGCTAGTTGGTACCCTTAGAGGATTTGATGTTTATGTTAATATGGTTCTTGAAGATGTCACTGAATAGTAAGTAGTGACTGTTCTTTTTGTTGATAATTTACCGTTGTTTTGTGAAAGATTTTAACTTTAGGGTTTTAGAATGCTAAAGGGGTTTAGATTTTTTTTTTTTTGCCTAATGTGTGGAACATAGATTGATTAAAAAGTATGCCGATTTTGCTCAGTTTATTTAGGAACTTTTGTTAAAAATTCTCAAGTTTAAAAATACTTAGGAACTAAGCCTGGTATTTAAGTGGAGAAGGGTAGAGGGGCGCGCCCAATATACCTGAGTTTCGAAGTCTGCGGTTGGTCCTGAGGATTGGCCCCAGATAGATTGTGGGCTATCAAAAAGAAAGTTACCATCTTTATAGTTTTAGGAATGTTTCTGTTCTGCTTTCGAGGTTTCATAACCATACTTTTGTTTGGTTTTTAATATTTTCTTGTGCGTTTCGTCTGCATTTCATTTTGGGTATGGCGTCCTATACAAGATACCAGTTTGTAATATTGTAATGGGCAATCTTGAATATTGATTTCAAACCCATGTCCTTCTAGTGTTGTTGTTGTTGGAGCGGGAAAAAGGGTACCACCATGTTAATGTAGTAAAGTTATTTATGGTCTACCCCTAACTTGGTATACATTTGCAATTAAATTCACCTATTCTGATTAGTGGTGGCAAAGTGAATAAAAAACAATTATCCATCCATATTATCCACTAAAAACTGGGTTGGATAATGAACTTGTTAAAAATGTGTCAAATAATGATAAAATCCGCATTATCCATTTAAAAAATGGATACTCAATGGATAACCAATGGGTTTAACTTTTACATTTGCAAAGACTCAAATTGGGGGTTCTTCAAATTTAGGAGACTAGAAATTCTCCAAAAGTGATCACATTCAAGAAGCCATGGATAATATGGGTATCCGTATTATCCACCAGTTATATCCATTTTCTATCCGTGGGTTGGTTGGATATTTATTCGTTTTTGCATTACTCGTTTTGACCCGCCTATATCAAACCCAACCCGCCTGCCACCCCTAATTGTGATTGTGACTGTAGTTTCATCACTGTGCACATAAGTTGGTGTTTTATGTCAATGCCTGCAATCAAGTCTGAGGAAAATTTCACTCATCTTCATTTATGCTAGTTAGTTGACATATCAGAAGTAAATTAATTTGAGCTATATTTGTTTTCTTAAGAGATCTATAATTGATTTATATATGAACTGAGTATTTTCCTTAAAACTGTCCTAATTTTTTGCCTCCTTTTGTTGAATAAAGAGTTGGGTTTTTATCTATGCACGGTTTGTACGTGATGTCTTGGTTAGCCAAAAAAGCTGCTTCTCTTACTTGGAACTCGGGTCCAATCTTTACCGTCTACTCTTAACATCCATCCCTTGTTTTTTAATTGTTAAGATTTTTCTCACATTCTTTAGAAGAGCATAGTTGGTTTATTGAAAGTGGAGGTTTTAGGCAGTGTTTGCCTGGTATATCAATGTTTTTGTTGAAAATTTTGGTCTCAAACTTTAGCTTAGCTCAAGCAGGTGAGAGTTTTCCATGTTAGCCTGCATAAATGCTACTGTAATTCCTAAATATTGATAATTGATGGAACATAGTGCCATTTGAAAAGGTACCCGTCATAACTCCATCTTCATACCTCTGCCACGAGCTATGGTTGAAAGTTCTATTTATCAGTCCACTGCTCAACAATATTGCAATATTTATTTCACACCCATTTCTGTAACACTTTTCGGCAACTTGACCCCTGATCTCCTGCACTGATACTATAATTTAGCTTTTGTATCTTTATTACGGCGAGGAATTAGTTCTATTTTAACACAGTCTAAAATGACAAGAGTCAAAAGTTCTCAGTCTATCCTATTTTAGAGATTAATGTTGTTATAACTCATGGTCAAAGAAGAAGAAACTACTGAGAATGCATTTAAAATGTGGCACTCTTAACTTATCTTATCCACATGGAGTAGAAGCAGTTGTACTCTAGAAATTGAATGGCTAGATTAGATGTTATTTGCGTTGTCTGCCTTACAGATCTAAAAAAGACTATTGCATGACATAGTAATAGTTTCAGAAGTTGACATATGAGACATTCTCCTGAGCGGTGTATCATTGCATTCCTCGCAGCTTCGTTGTTTGTCTTGAACCCGTTTGATACA